AGTTTCCCTCATCTCAGAGTTAACAGACTCATTTCTTTAATCCTGCTCTCCTCAAACATCATCACTTCTGTGAAGTCTGTTTCCTCATTCCCAAAAACAAAACCAAACTGACAACAACACATTTTCACATGATGTAGGGGCTAAAATAAGTATTAGGAGCAGCAGCAGGAGACTGAGGAGATTATATATAAACCCTTATTTTACCTAGAAAACCCACTGACATCGAGATGTCATTTTCAACAGAGACCTGAGTGCATAAGTGTTTAAATACAAACAAAACTTTAAAAAAATATAAGATAAGATCAGGAATAAGGTAAGATAAGGAAGATAAGGAATGGATAGACTGTATTGATCCTGTCAACATCAGGGTGGGATTTAATTATGTCCCCCGTTGTTGGACATCAGCTGTTCCTGGTGGGATAGGTGACTGAGAGTGGGCGGACTGAGGATCTTGATGGACCCAAAGGTTCATCCATAGGTTGAGACATAATTTGTGTTGAATGGCTGATGTGCAGTGAAGTTGGCTGGTGACCAAACCTGTCTAACTTTATAAAACAAAAACACACCTCTGTTGAGTAATGCTGTCAGTTCATTAAGTGGAAACCAGTCTGCCACAGTGTAGTATGAAAGAAATAAACTCAGTGCCCATTCCTTCTTCACTCAACACCACACTTAATTTCTGTAATGGCTCATATATATATATATATATATATCCTCATTCTGACAATGGCTGAGAATAAATCATGTGAAATGGGGATAAGGAAATATTCTGTCTGTGGCGTCCACCTCCCTCACCTTCACGCCTCTTTTTGCTGTACTACATAAACCTCAATATCGGGCTTCAGAGGACACAGTTCACCTGTGTAAGCTGCCAGTGTGACAATGAAGATCACTGTGATTTTCCCGTTGCTGCTGCTGGTCTGCTCTGGCTCCACAGATCAGAATAAGACGGAGGCAGAAAAGAAATTCTTGCACAGCAGATCACATCCTTACAGTCTTTACCACAAGACATCCTTGCTGTGCTGAGAGAGATGGCTGTTACTTTGACTCAACAGAAGTTTGACATGAGATTGCTGCAAACAGAGAATAAAGGTACAGTATTATGTCGGGTAATGAGAGAAGGAATAGCATCAGGAACCCTTCCATAGGAATTACTGTTGTTTTACAAGGGAATCAATATCATAGCAGTTCATATCCAAAAGTACAGAAATTACAAACAAAGTATTCAAAACAAATCACACTCACAAATTTATTTCTCCTCTTTTTCAGAGCATGCAGCAAAGCTGGAGCGACAGGAGACTGAGTTGAAGAAGCAGGAGACTGAGTTGAAGAAGCGAAGAAGAAGAGGAGACTATAAGAAAGGAGACTGAGTTGAAAGAAAAAAGAGGAGAAAGAAGCAGGAGACTGAGGTTGACAAGCTGAAGCAACAGCTGAAAGGTACTGTGTGTGTGAAATCATCATGTCTGATTATTTGTATAACAAAAATGTAATGTATCTTTCTTACACCAATACTACTACTGTGTGGTATAAAATGTAATTTCCCAGAATGTTATTTATTCTCAAATACCATAATATCAAGTACTGAAACTGATAACTGCTGCCATAATTAGTGCGGGCATGTACCGGAGAAAGTGTTTATGATTTCTACCAGCTGCTTCTGCTCCTTTGAGATTCATAGGACATTTCATTTGACCAAATTCAATCATGATGACCAACTCTTTCATTTCTAACTTATTTAAAGTTGCATTTGTCCTGATGCACCACCTACAGATGGACATCCATCAAATTCTTAACAAGTGAGAACTGTCCAGAATAAGAGCTTTATAACTTGGTGGTGCTTTAATGCCTGAACATATTCCCTGGGGAATTATACATATGATATCCTTTGTATGTGTAGTATTTTAGATATTGATGAATTTATGTGAACATTGATAGCCCTTCAACAAAGAAATCATACAATAATCAATATTTCAAAAACTGTACAATAATTTATCACCAAGTTGGAATACATTAAATAATCTCTACACATGCTGCCAGAATATGAACCAGAACCATGTTTCTAGCTAGTATGCATAAGTTCAACTGTCAAACATTAGTTTGATTAGAGATAATTATTAGGGACCGAGCTAGCCACCGCTGGAGGCCCCTATTGTATTTGTTATGTTTCTTATTATTATTTTTTAGCCCCCTTTGACTGCGTTTCTTGCCCCCTGAACATATAACAAAACTCAATTTTATTTGGCAAAATTGTCAGGCCTGGTGAAAATGGGGATATTCTATGCGTCATTTTCGGGTTGTCCACCAGGTGGCGCTACTATCATAAAAATGCACTTAGGCTAATAACTTCTGCATAGTGTGTCGCACATTCAAAAACCTTATATCCACGCTGGTCGGGTGAATAGAGCTGAATCTTCCGATATAGGCCACGCCCACTTCCGCCAAGAATTTTTCTCCACTAGAGCGCGAAAATGCTCATAAACTACTCTTTCCGTATTCCCCCCATGCGCTTTGTCTGATTCGCACAAATTTTTTTCACGTAGGAACTGAGGACCCCTCATAATAAAAAAAGTGATTAAAAGAATTTTGACATTTCAAAAACCCAGCACGTTATAAAATTGGCACTTCCTGTGAATTTTCTCGTCAAAAAAGGAAGTGGGACCATTTCTCCACATTGGTATGTCCGATTGAGACCAAGCTTGAGTCCATAGTTCCCCCATGTCTTCCTTAGGCATCTTGCACAGTTTCAGGCCATCGCCACCATTTTGGTTTTGATTTTCACTTTCTGGCGAACTTTCCGCATTGTATTTGAACGAACTCCTCCTAGGAAATTTATCGGATCTGCTGCTTCAAAATTTGTGAGTACACTCAAAAAATGGTGCTCATTAAAAGTTGTGCTATTTGAGACTGTACGTTGAACGGCGCGTTTGTGGCAACTTGTCGATTTTGAATTCTGCCGTCCTACAAACTGATTGAAAAGTTGAGCTGTGACTGTACATCAAACCGCGTGCCAGGACAGGTGTCCTCATAACTTCAGCGTACGTGGTCCAATCTTAAGACTCGCGACGTAGCTATGTATCGGCACTGCGATGTGGGTTGTAGATGCCCTCGATAGTGGTGGAGTGCGAGGCCTCGCCCAACGCTGTTTGCAGCTTTAATTTCGAGATTGTTTTTCAAAATTAGCAATTCAATATTTAAATCTTTTAAATCTGAAATATGTTAAAAATTTAATGTATGCTAAAATAAAAAAAACATTAAAGCTGCAAGCAGCGTTGGGTGGGACCTCGCGACTCCACGCAACTCGGGCATGCTGCAGCCCACGCCGCGTGCCGTCATAACACGTAAGGACCACATCATGAAAATTTCACGTAATTAGCTCAAAATCGCCACGCAGCCTTACTTCCTGTTGCCAGTAGGTGGCGCTATCACTATGTCTGAATGTTGTCACGTAGACATGTTCAGGGCGGGACTGTTGTAAAACACGTGAAGTTTCATTGAGATTGGACCACGTCTGAAGTTAATGAGGACGTGCTCAGGGCGAGACTGTTACAGAATATATGAAGTTTATTGGAGATTGGACATTGCACACTGAAGTTATGAGTGCTGTTTTGTGGCTAATCCGGTGAATTCGACAAATCGTCATTGGCACGGTCATTTCATGTAACTCAGCCTTCAAAAATCACCGTGGCAGCGCTTACTTCCTATTGCCAGTAGGTGGCGCCATCACCTATGTCTGAATATTGTCTTGTACACGTGCAAACAGGGCGGGACTGTTATCAGTTACTTGAAGTGTGGAGTCGATTGGACAATGTACACTCAAGTTATAGTGAATTCGTGGCTTTGTGGCGGTACACGGTATATCAGGCAGACAGTGAACATTTTGTCCTCAGAGTTGAAGTGCTAGAATCAGAAAATGTGCAGCGTGAGGATCTGAGTGACTTTGACAAGAACCATTGTGATGGACGCACTGGGTCAGATCATTTGGAGAGGTGTCAGTTAGACCTCCAGTGTGCTGATGTGCCCCTGAGCAAGGCACCCAACCCCTAACTGCTCACAGTGTCCCTACATGGCAGCCCATCACTCCACCATCTCTCCACATTTGTGGTCTATAAGCCTCCATATGCATGATTTTATTTCAGGCCAGTGTGTTAAAGTAAGAGGAAAAAGAATTTCCATCGATTAATAAAGTATATCTTCTTCTTTAATGTAATTCATTGGTGATACATATTGCTCTCTCTCTCTCCAGTTGGGCAGGGTGGCTTTCAGCCTCTCTGTTGGCTACAGGCAGCGGATATGTCGGACCCTTTCCCGCACACACTACTCTGATCTTCAAACATGTCGATACAAACATTGGAAAGGCCTACAACCCAGACACAGGTACCTGAACTCTGTTATTTTTACCTATGCTGATGTCTAATGTTGCAACAGTTGAATTTTCATTTAAAAAGACTAAAAACAAATGTTCAACAGGTATTTTCACTGCACCAGTGAGAGGAGCCTACCACTTCGAGTGGTACATAGGAACATATGGAGGTCACCAGGCTTCAGCAGCTGTGTTGGTCAAGAACTCACAACTCATTTTTATGGCATATGAACATCAGACATCCGGTTATGGGACTTCTGCTATGGGGGCTACACTGCTCCTAGAGGTTGGAGATGTTGTGTTTGTGCGTCTGTGGGAAAATACAAAGGTGTTTGATGATGGTAGTCACCATACCACCTTCAGTGGTCATCTGCTTTTCACCATGTAAGACAGAAACTCTTCCTCTTTTCCTTTTAAAACTCTTGAACAGTTCTTCCTCTGAACTGATCTCAAATGTAATCTGATAATCTTGAATCACTGTAGTAATGTATAGTGAACTCTGATTTTCCTTTATATAAAAAGCTGGATGACAGAGAAGTGCAACATCAATTTATACAAATGAAAATCTTTATTATTATTAAAGCAATCTAACATACAGGTAGCTTTTCTTTTCAAATTTGAAAGTGATACGTTTTTCTGATGCTCTTGTCTATAATAAAATAATAAACATACAATTATAATACTGTGTGGACATTTCTTTATTGTGTGGTTTCAACTTCAATATCATACTGAAGGAGGAGGGAGACCTCTGTGGATCATTGGGCTCCCGGTAGAAACCTCCTGAACCACGAACATTGAAGGAATCCTAACCGGGAGAAGCTGACTGCAATGACGCCAATGGTGGTGAAGACAACAACTCCCATGATCCCTCACTGCTTCACCACCTCATCACACTTAATCTTTTTCTTATTGTTTTAATGTGAGAGACCCCCAGTGGCAGAAATCACAGACTGTAGCTTTACTGTCTGTACATTTGTTGTCCACACACAATAAATCTTGTGCAGCTAAACTAAGAGTGGACATCTGGGAGGACGAATGCTGGATGAGTTGTGGGAGAGAAATACAACTAAAGATGAACATTTGTTTGGGAAATCCTGCTCTTTTGGTGGAGAACGTTTGAAAACTCCTATTTAGGATATTTTAGGATTTGTAAGAATGAGAACAAAATAAAGCCCTGTTTAATAATTCAATTATTATCTGTTAAATAAATCTACCATTAACTAATTAAGGCATGTTATATTAATTAAAAATGTTCAAAATTATAAAATTAAATCAACTTAAACATCCAGTGCAGATATTCAGTCTTCCACATATTTGATGACTTTTATATTTTTTAAATACATTAAAATATGAACAAAACATCCTTACATACACTTTACCAGTGCCTGAAATGGGCCAGTACTCACCGGTACTGAGAACCCCGCGGCCATACTCACTAATGAGGACGTCTCACGGTAGATATTAGGACGATACCAGATGAAATTCTCGATACCAATTGAGTACCACGATAAAAAATGTCCCACTCGAGTTTTTTTTCCCGATCCAATACAGATGAAAAGCTCCGCAGTGAATTAACAAAAGCAATCAAGCTGTTCCTTAATGTTTTATACATATTGTATTATTATTAATGCAACTTATTTCATATATATTTTATACTAAATAACTGAGTTGGCTTTAAAATAGCCTAACAAACTCTTTGTAATCTTTTCTCAGATCTGGAAGGAATTTCTCTTAAAACTGTCCTGCAGAGTTTGTTGCTTCAGTTCATCTTTACCTGAGTTACCTGAACCAGCTGTATCCTGCTGTTCATTTTTCCTCGCCTGTACATCCTGTGAGCCGGGTTACGTTGCTAAATTACTTGTTTGTGAGACTCCTGTTGCATTTGCAGTGGCGTAGTGAGTGTGCAGCTTTTCAATATCTTGGCATCGACTTGGTAGCGAACTATCGGCTCTCGTGACATCCCTAGTAGATAATAAATAAATAAATAAACTGTACAGGGTTGAACTGAACGGGGTACTGGCAGCTTTTTTGGTTCAATTCAGGCACTGATTTTTACACAAGTACAAAAACAATTGCAGCAAAGTCTTTGGCACAAATCCTCGGCTGTATTAATCCAGTAATAATCAGCAGCTATGAACTTCTTACATATCAAGAGACTTCACAGCTTCTCTGTTGTTTTGGCTTTTTAAAGCTGATGGCAAACATAAATAAGATAAATATATTTAGGTTTTTAAGTGTTAAGATTAAAAGTCAGCGCACACAAATACTGTTGAGTAAAGTTAGAAATGTTTCCTGAACAAAGAATAAAGACACATAGTATTAGTTGGCACAGTTCACTAAAGACCATCGACATATATAAAGACACACGAAACGACAACTCCCCTAAAGTGAAGCCAAAATATCTCGACTGCTTCCTGGTGGCAGATGCAACATCAGATAAATTAAGGATGCAGAGCTTTTATTAAAATGCAAAACATTTTCATTTTAAAAAAGCTCCACTTTCTGTGTAAACAGAGCCTAAAAAAACATCACAGTGCATCACATCCACAGATGGTTCCTGTCGTTTTAGGTCGTTCAAGTTTGTTTTTAATCTGTCATTTGAAGGCGGTTTCAGTTGAGCCCGGCTCCGGGATATTTTGGTTTCATATTTGAACAGTGGCAGGAAGTGGAGATGCGACGTCCATCTTTTATATGTCCATGAGTTTGACACTGACCAACTATTAATTATTTTACAGAAATAAACAACTATATCGCAGAGAGTCCGTTATTATCCAAGATATTCTGTTTTCGTGTGCTTCAGTTTGCAGCTTGTATCTCTGGTCCACCGGCCGTCAGAGGAAGACGTCCAGGGTCTGCGTGATGGACTGCCGGCAGAGCGGACAGCAGCGCTGCTGGACGTGTCGGCGCTGGGTCAGGATGTCGGCGCAGTGCCGGCAGAGGCAGAGGTGACGGCAGGGCAGCAGCAGCACAGTCTTGCTCAAGTCCTGACAGATGACGCACTTCTTCCCTCTCCTCCTGCTCCTTCAGCAGGCTGAGCAGCTCGCTGTCAGTTGAAGAGCTGTCGCCGTCCAACGGAGTACAGTTCAGCCGCGATGTACCAATCCTGCTGCTGGCGCCCGCTGACTCGTCGTCCAGCTGATCCTGGAGCTGCGGAGGGTCTGGCTGGGTCGGTTCATTCGCTGGCGGCAGGTCGGTCTCAGCGACTGAAGCGCCGGTGTGCGGGAGCCTCGTTGCACTGTGTGCCGCCCGATGCCACACAGCTTGTTCGAGTATCGTCCACGCTCCCAGGAGAGCATTGACCAAACGGAGGCTGAGGCGTCCGGCGAGGACAGGAAGTCTGGGGTTCAGTAACAGCAAAGCCACTGGAGATGATGAACGCGGTGATGAGCAGGCCGTGTGAGTCCACCATGAACACAGTGATGAAGACACGGCCCAACGCTCCCAGGAAGTCCAGAAGCAGCTGGCAGGGCGCCCACAGCAGCACCGAGGCACCGACCAGACAACTGTACAGGAAGGTCAGCGCAGTCAGAGCCAGCTCCAACACTTTGCACGGGGTCCGCCACCACCTCCCAGACGCCCGCCAACACAGACAGACAGTTCTGCGTGCCGATGAGGACGATGTTGACCACCGTGTTGACAAAGTAGAGAACGAGGCTGAGCGCGATGCAGAGGCTCGCACGTCTGTCGCAGGACGCAGCTCCCTGAAATAAACCCACGGTGAAGCACGCCTTGACTCGCCACGCCACGTGACAGGAGAGGGGTGTCCCACCATCTTGAAACTTCCTCAAACACTCCTCCCAGCGTCTGCAGCCAGCCCTCCACAACCTGCAGCGCTCCGCAGGCGGCGCTGGAGACGGCCTCAGTGGCGGCGAGGAAGGGAGAAAAGAGCAAAGTTCCAGCATTCGACCAGAGAGGAGCCGCTCAGGACGACCAGCGTGTTGTGGGAGGGAAGCGCCCACGCCGGACAGGAAGCGACACAGCCAGCTGAACGTCCTGACGACCAGGTCGAGCAGCAGGCAGCAGGCGTCCACACATCCTCCAACAGCAAGAGAGACAACGTTCACTTCGTCCATAGTCGGCTGCAGGCGAGAGAAGAAGAGTGACAGTGTGTTTGATGAGTAAAATATTTATTACATTTATTAAAATTATTTAAAGGGAAAAATCTACAAATCTTCACATTTGTAAAACTGGAACTATGAAATGTTTTTACAGAAAAAAAAGAAACAAAGATTAATTTTCTGTCAACAAACTAATGGATTAAAGGACATTTTAAAAAGTTCCCTTTGTACAATCTAAAGTAGAATATTCCCTCTGAGGTTCAGTGGAGTTCAGGTAGAAAGCAGTAGAGTATATCAGACTCTCTGCAGCGACCTCTGGAGGCAGGAGCTGCTTTCTACAGGACACAGCAGCTTCATAAAGATTCAACTGGGACTGAAATGTGCTTTTGTACACAGGTGTGAATGTTAACCTGCAGCTAAACTAACGACAGAGCAAATAAAGGACCCATAAAGCTCTTTGTGTTGGTGATTTTGGACTATTGCGGTTAAACATCAGACTAATACACACCCAGGATTTTATACATATTAAATCAATGGAACATAAACCCAGACACAAATATACTTTCTGTACTTATAAGCTGATATATTATGTTAGTTATTGACATCTGTTTTAACTTAAGTATAAAATAAATACATAAACACACACTAATGTTTAAAACGGTGCTCCAGTCAAATCTGTGTCTTATTTAAGCGAAAGGAGACAAATAATAAAGGACAAGCAACCCACTTCTTTAAGTTTAAAATCTAATTAAACGAGTATTATTGTGTATAATATATATGCCGAATTTCAGATAAGCTTTCGCTGATTCAGATGAAGTATTTATTTCATATTTCTGACATTTGTTTGTTCTTGTAAACTTTAAATTGTCAGAATTCTTAATGGAGTTTGGGTATTGAAACGCAACTTTCAGATCCGCGCTAACTAAGAAACGCACAGTGAAGCTGAGGCCGCAGATTGGAGCTCATGTTCACGGTGAATGATTAAGCACATTAAAGTCTTTATATTTATATTTATATTTATATATTATCTTTATGTCTGAAGCCCTCAGTGTGTCCGCTAGCAGCCACATGCTAACGCTGCTAGCAGACCCCACCCATTAGCGTTAGCTCGGTAGAAATAAACATAAACAAACTTCAGAGGAACAATCTGTTTATGAGCGTTTGAAGTAAACAAGTCTCACCGTGACAACATGACGCAGAGAGATTTAATCACTGGCGCGTTTAAAGAAAACTAGTTTTAACATAAGTCACTAATATTGTCTTCTTCGGCTTATTATTATTCTGCTGCTGCTGCTTCTTCTTCGTTGTGACAATTGACGGTTCGTAAACCAACGGAAATGGATCACAGCGCCACCTGCTGTATCGGAGTGATTCAGCAGGTTTTAATTAAAACAATATTAAACATACAGGAGCTCGTGGACAATAAATATTTATAATACTGATTAATTACAGTTTATTTACTTTTATCGGATCACATCCCAGCTTTATTGTTTTTATCAATAATGTAAAAACATTTTGTTTGTGAAAGATTATTCTGCGTTATGTCCTTTAATTGCACATTGTGTTCTCTGTGTATATTTTCCTCTAATATATAATCAAATCTATTCATAATTATCGAAGAG